GATTAAGTTATATTTTATCTGTATAAAGTTCTAGATTTAAACATCAAGCCTTCTAATTGTTTTATTTGGCTATCTTATTATTGTACTTCTTTTTCTTTTCTTTTTTTTAAATTATTATTATTATACTTTGAAAATTACATAAAAAAATTATACTTATAAAATAATAAGTCCAAATGATAAAACCCCACTGTGATAACCAAAGCTAAAACTATGAAATACACTACTTGATGTACTTCAAGATGGTGGCATAGCATATATAAATGATGCAGTAATCTAGGGTTGTGAGTTCAATCCCAATAATGAAATTGATATTCTGATTCAGCAGAAATGAACAAGAAATGCTTTGTTTTGTTCCTAGGATATCATATCAGCTAAAAAAAAAAAAAAAAACTGCCTGAAAGTGACCAGATGGTATCTAGCTGAAATGTTATTTATAATAGCATCTATAACAATAAGAAAAATGCAAACAATAATTGAAATAAATCAAAATATACTCTGCCAATTCAAAAACATGGCAATTTCTTCACTAATAAAAATATAAGGTTAAAATTTATAAAAATAAAAGTAAAAAATCCTTATATAAAGTAATTTGTTATGATCTAGGTACCTTGATTGGTATTTAATTTAATGCTAAGCAGTTAATAGTCTACATATGCATCCTTATAACCATGTAAATAAGTGAAGTAAAATGTTTGAAAAATACTTTGTAGGTACCTTCATGAGATCACTAAAAACAGAGCATAGCACGATGAAAAAGACACCAAACTTGACGAAAACAAAGTTTTAGCGTCTAAATGCTTATGTTATTATTGAGAGGAAAGATCAAAGTTTATTTTAATTATCTTTTAGAATTTTTCCTTCTTTTTAGAACATTCTAAATTTTGATTAAAAAAAAACTTGTTTCTCTTTGTATCACCAGAACTAGTAAAAAAACAAAATTTTAGCATGTTTTTTTCTGTATGACACATTAATTTGGAAAATCTTGCAAAAATAAAAATAATTGTCAGATTTTAATGAAACTTTCAGAAACTATTCACAAATGGTGGAACTTATTATAAATATGATTTTTTTATTAAAGTCATGGCAGAAATTTTTTTTTCCATATGTATTACCCCCCTCCTAACTAATTATACGAAAACTCTATAATTTCAATTTAGGAAGATTAGTGATTATATTAGTTAAAAGCACAAGGCTTTTTTTTTTTTTTTTTTTTTTTTTTTAGTTGGACCACCTCTACCTGAAAATAGTCTCTGAATTGTAACATACAAAACTCAATAAGACAAAAATATTATTTAATTTCAAAAGCTTTTAATTGCTTTTATTTATTTCAATGAACATGGACAATATTGTCTGAAAGCAAAAAGATATTTCGATGAAAAATGAATTTTTAAAACAATTCTTTGTTATTTCTGAAATATTTTATTATTTTTACATTAAATGTTGTTAATTCTTCTAAAATTAGGGGAAAATTTGTAAAATTTAACGAATGTTGTTATAAGTAGATATATATTTACAGATTATAATTTCCAATGCTTTTTACAAACTAATGAACAACAGTATATAAAAAAATATAATTTGTGTCAATAATAACACTCTAAATCAAATCTACGGAATACCAGAAGTATCATGTGTACAATAAAAAAACGTCACGTGGATTGAGTTTCTGTCTAGTATTTAACTTGAATACTGAATTTTTAATACAATTATTTGTTATTTCTTTAATTATAATAGATTTTTTTTACATTTAAGTTGTTAAAATATAAAATTAGTTAAAAGCCGATTCAGTTTCAGAAATGTCCTTTTTGAGATATAGATTTATTTTTTTTGAAACACATGTGAAGTTAATTTGATTTTTCAATTTCAACTGAAAAAAGGTACCTACAAGTATCAGTATCATCTTATGAAATTTATATGAACTTATTTTTATATTAATCTCAGTTATGGCATTTTTCCATAAATGAAATATCAAAATTAATAATAAAATGAATGGAAATACAAATAACACAGTAAAATGTAATAAATGTACATAAAATTATAGCATTTTATGTACACTTCTGATAAAATTTCATAAGAAAGGTACCTATAAATTAATTAGATATCTTTCTTATGAAATTTAATCTCGCTCTTAGCAGTCTTATTTTAATTTCTTTATAATATATTTTCCATAAAGCATCATAAATGTAAAGGTGAAAGCTAAGTACAAAAAAAAAGTAATTAGAGCACTGAAAGTTTTCCTTAAAAATAACGAGGTAAATAATTTGTTCACTTAAATGTAAATTATTTCACTTTTCTCCTTCTGTAGAACAAATTAGCATCACGGAATCCATCAATATGTCATTCATCACCTGTCAAGTGACGCGAAAGTTTATGACCTGCTTTGTTTTATTTTCAAATTACATCTTTTCAGCGCAGAAGCTAAGCTAAGTTTTGTTCAAAATATTTTAAATAAACATAATTTCTGATTTTCTTAAAATAAGTTTTGAAAAATGATAATTGATGTTTAAAAGAATTTCAAAGTGAGATTTCCAGTTTTTTTATGAAATGGAAAAAAAATGGTCAATTTTGATGATTCAAAAAACAAAAAACAAGATTTTTAATGAAAATTTCGGACATGCAAGGAACAATTAAAAAATGTATAAATATACACCCAAAATACTTTGATCTTTCCTCTTAATAATAACATAAACATTTAGATGATAAAACTTTGTTTTCGTCAAGTTTGGCGTCTTTTTCGTCATGCTATGCTCTTTTTTTTTTTAGCGATCTCATGGAGGTACCTATACTTTGATATCTAATATTTCTAAACTGAAAATTGTGACACATTAACTACTTTCCTTTGCTTGATTTTGAATAAAAGGGATAACTGGTTAAATAAAAACACATTGGGAAAATAGCATTATATAAACACTTTATAGAGAACTAAAAAAGAAATTAGTGTTTTTATATATAGTAGATATAAGTTGTATTGTTATCGTCCAATTTACATTCTCTGCAGTCTTTGAACAGAAGTTGAGGTTTTAGGATTTAGGACTGGGTTTCTGGTTCCTTCTAAAGTCTTCTTTCACTTTCAGTAGCCCTTTGCATCTTAATGGCATTATTGCTTTGCTTGAGATTAAATAATTACAAAAAGAAAAAATTAGCCAATCCATTTCCCCAAATCAGTATTGTAATGTTTAGTCATTATTTCTTTATGTGCTGTGTCCCCTCAGGACATAGGTGATCATGGCTCTCAACAAATTCCTGCCCTTTGTAGCACTTAGTAAATTTTGTCTTTTTGTTATTTCCCCTAAACCCTATTCTGACACCCATTTATTCAAGCTCACTAAGTATGTTATGCATTGTTTTCCTGTCTCTCTTGCTTTCAATCTGTCCTGTGACTATCAGATTTTCCTAGCTTTCTTTCCTCATTGAAATAGTAATTTGAGCAGTGAAAATGTTTAAGCTTAATACAGATTTTGGGGTTTTGAACAGTTTGCATTAAATCATCATTAACATTGTTAGTTTTTGTAAAAGTTATATCATCTTTTTAAAGACTATGTAAAAGAATAGCATTTAAAAAAAAATGTTAAAATTAATGAATATACACAAACACTGCTCAGGGTTTGGTTGGCTTCATCTTAGGCAACTTAGTTCAAAGGAACCAATTTAGTTAGAGTTTGTGTCAGAAGTCATAAACATTTAATCACTTCTCTCCTTTGTGTAAAATCAATAATGAATAAAAAAAATATTGTTCATCCTTACAATTATTTTCAGTCAAAATTTTTTTATAATGATAACTACTTATAAAGAGATAATAGCTTACACATTTTTTTTCTTTAAATGATCTTAAGTCGGATTTTTTAAATGATCCTCCATCACAAAATAAACTAATCCTATTTCCAGATACAAATTAGTGTTGTTCTTCATGGACAGATGTTTTTTCATATTTCCATGCAATTGTATTTTGTCTGTTGGTTAAATATGATGTGATGCCAATATACATAACTCGTTAGAAAATATGATGGATAAAAGAAGAAATTCAAGTGAAAAATGGCAAAGAAAAACGGACTTCTGCTGTTGGGTTTTTTTATGTGGCATGGAAGCATACACAGTGTGCTAGTGCTTTTAAGAATTTTGTTCACATGAAATCTTATACATTTCATTTTTTTAATTCATGTTAAAATTTTTGAAAATAATGCTTTAATTGTTATAAAGTTGCAAGTTTTCTGTCCATTTCTTTTGCTGAGTTTACCATGAAGCATTCAAGAACACTCAACTTATTGCTGATATTCTCAAATGCTCATAATATTCTTTAACTCTTGTAAATATGTTACCATTACTATTAAGACTTTACCTTTCTCATAATTTACAAGTATCAAAAAGTATTCTATATTCTAAGTAAGAATTTAATCCATGAGAAAGTAGACATGTTGAAAATTATAATCTAGAAATGTAGTGTAAATTTTTAGAGGAATTTTCTCCTTCAATAGTAATTTGCAATGTACCTATGCTTCTTCATGCTATACTAAATTTAATCCAGCTTTGGTCAGATTGCATTAATTCACTATGCACATATTGTCTTATTTATAATGAAATAAAATTCAATTAAACAGTTTTGCAGGGTGATTGAGAATAACTTATTTTGTAACTAATGTAATAAATAGTAAAGGATACTAGCTTAAATTGATTTTATTATTAATTACAGATTACTGGATATTATGACTTATTTTATTTTTTTGAAAATCTAATGACATTTGTATTGTAGATATGATTCTCTATTCATAGCTAACACATAATTGGATATAAAGACAAACTCCCATGCTAGTCTCTTTGATAACATTATTAACAAAGACAACTGAGTAACTCCATTGAATAAACCTGCAAGTTTCATTGATCAAAGCCTTCAAGAATGTATTCAAGTTGAAAAGATTTTGCTTTGTACCAAATGTTTTATTCTGAGAACATTGCAGTCTTATCATCAGTTTATTTTTATCTCTGTTATTTTTTCTCTCTCTCTTAAGGTTACGCCGTCGTCGAAGCAAGTCAAAGAAGTATGGCATCATCACTACCCCAGCATCTGACCTGGAGATGGCACCTTTGGATCAAGGAGATGATGATGATGAAGACTTGACTGTTTTTGAGATGAATGGAAAGCCTAAGTAACAGGGGTATGTAACTAACAATTTGTTATACTGATCAAAAGAAAATGCCAAAGCATCATCTTAGTTGCACTTAATATGTATTTCAAATTAGAACCGTTGGTTTGTATTTATGATCATGTATACAGATTTTTTTTTATCTAGCACTTTCCATAGATTCTACATTAAACATGAATTCTGCCCAGGTTTTGTTCATTTTTTTTAATGCAGCATCAACTTGTATTTTCCCCTCTTAAATAAGGATTCTTACCATGTTGCTTAGGAAAAGAATTGCATAATTCTGATAAATATTAATATAAATTTTAAGTGTTGAAATACTTGGTTTTTTAGCACTTTCACTTTGAAAATTAAAGTGTAACATGAACTAATTTAAAAAAAAAAACAATCATGAAAATGCTCTTTTCTTTTAGAGGAAATGTTTGTTTTTTTTGTTTTTTTTGTTAAAATATTCTTTTTCTTTTGTAATTTATCCCCAAAATTGTTTTTTATTTTCAACTATTTTAATTTGTAATTTAAATTACAAACTGAACACTAGTTTTTGTTTTTTTTTTTGTTTTTTCCAGTAAAAATGACCTGATTTTCCAGTATAGCAAGAATGAAGTAGTCATGAAACTATATAATTCTTAACACTATTTCAATTTTAAAAAATAATAATAATAAATAACTTGTATGAATAACATTGTAATAATTATAAGCATTTCAAGTGTCTTAAATTAATTTAGGGCAAGCTTATTGCTTCCTCAAAATATCAAGTTGCTGACTTCAATCTTGTTTACAAAGTTCATAAATGATCAAAACAAAGGTCAGACATCTGGCTGCTTCATAAATGTTCATTGTTGTGTAGAAATTGGTAAACAACTAGAAAGTAATATTTTCTCTATTTTTGAGTGGAGATAGTGAAAAAAAATATTCTTGTAATTTCCCATGGATTATGTCACACACCAGTTACTTGTTAAATTATTTAATCAAAACTGAGATATGAAAACTGGATAAAATTTTGTCTAGTAACAGAAGAATGAAAGTTGATATGTCATAGTAATATGCTAGTAACGTTTAACCTGATTTCCCTAAATAGTGGAAATGCATCAGATTTTGAACACTATTCTGTTCTGTGGTTACTCGGCCATGAAAAGTTTGCATTTGAGACACTTATCAAAAGATGCCATTCTAATGCTAAACCAAGTATTAAGCAGCAGAAAAAATTTCATTAGAAACCCGAAAGACTGCTGAATTGCTAATATCAATCCTATATAACTGTGAATGAAGTGATATAAGTGGAGACTTGAGGCAACAGACATGCTGAGAATACCATGGACTAAACATTTGAGCAACAAAGAAATTTTAAAGGAAATGGGAACAAAAAGGAAATTTCTGGGATACATAATGAAGAAGAAAGATGGCTTGGAGAATTTTACTCTCATAACATTGAAGGCAAGTGGGGGGGGGCTCTAACTCATGAGATTAGAATAGCAGAACAGAGACTGGGAGGGATAGTAAGGAAACAAACATTGCTTAGAGCCACAAAGGATAGGATGTTGTAGAGTCATGACTGCCAATATTTTCAAGGGACACAGCACATAAAAGAAAACATATTAGATGGAAAGGTTTGAAAATCATAATTCACTTTTAAATTCTCAATTTTGAAAGAGACCAAAGAACTAATTTGCTAGATTTGATGCCTATTCAATAATGGACTTAAAACAGAAATGCTATTTTATGTTTAAAAAAAAAAAAATGATCAATCTATTTTTTAGCATTGATTTCTTTTAAAATCAGTGTTGAAATGAATGGTTTTCTTCTCTCTCTTTTTTTTTTTTTTTTTTTTTCCATTAACACCAGCTTAAATATTACTCGTCTTTTACTTTAGACTTTAATTTATATTTGCATCACATAAGTTTAATCATCTAGCTTACAGAGAATTTTGCAAGTAAAAATTAATTTATTTGAAACATTTCTCATATAGATACAAGGGGTTACTGATGTGTTATCAACTTAACCCACCTAATTTTTTAGCATCCCATCTTAATCAAGTCAAGAACTTTTCATACACTATATAAAGGCTGTTATGTTCTTTTTAAAGTAGTGCTGACTTGCATGTCCTTCTCCTTAAAAAAAAAAAGCATTCAAATAATGCTATATTATTTTTAAATGTCTTTTACCATTTAAGATTTGAATTAGGAATCGGTCTTGATACTTGAAAAGAAAACTTTTCTAAAGAGACTAGGACATGATGCCTTGTCATAGAAGCTGATTCCTCATGTTTTGTTGCCAGTGCAGTACAGTGAATATGAGGAAAAATACAAACATAAGCAGAGCTGAAGATAGACTAATCTCCCACTGATCAGCTATCTTGCTTTGTATTTAATCTTGGATAAAAGGCAGATCAGATAAGGATAACTTAAGACACATCTTAACTTCATTATCTGAAGCTTAATCTTTGTTTTTTTTCAATAGCCAGCTATGCTTAATTTCCTTCACATTCTCTTCCTGATTATATGTGCACTCAAATGTCATGACTAAATTTCATGACATGTTTATAAAGCTTGTTTTTATGAATGCAAGTTTTTTAATTTATGAAAAGAAATGTAATTTGAAAATGTTTGTATCCAACTTTTGACATCTTTTTTTAAGTGCAAAACATACAAATTTTGTTGTTTTGTATTGAAAGAATTTCTATTTTTCTTCAACTAAATGCAGATAATCAGATAAACTTTAAATATATGTTCATTTTCTGTCAATCTTAATTTTTCTAAACAAAAAAAATGTTTTTCAATGGTAATTTACTTTAACATTATTCATAAATAATGAATATATCTGATTTGCATTTCTGTTTTCCTATCAACCTACAATGTATATTTAATATAGTCCAATTATGTTTCATAATCTCTAACTATATATAACATTTGGGTCTTTCACTTTTTAAAAGATATAGAATTAACTGCAATAGATAATATATGAAAGAAAAGAGTAACAAAAATGTATCCATGATCTGATAAGATGACTTAGGCATTAACACATCTACTTAAGAGATGTGTTTGGTCAATGAAATACATTTATTTACAAATTATGTATAAAGGAAGTAACTATCAGCTTAAATGCTTTAAATTGATAAACTGATACATATTTAAACCTATGTGCTTCATCACTTCATAAGGAACTTTACTTGGTTCTGTTATAAATCTCACAAGCATAAATAATTCAAGGGTTCAAAGTTTCTGTTTGAAGAAGTCAAGCTGAAATGTAGAAATTATCAATATCATTTAATTATAAGATTAAATCAACAAGAGAAATGGCTTCTTTCTCCACAGTGGTGAACGCATGTCAGTACAGACACAAAAAAGACCTCGGATTACATGCAGACATGTTTGTCAGTACCAGTTACAACCAAGTTTTTCCTGTTAGCAACAAGAAAATTTGGCATGTCTAGATACAGGCCTCTCTGCAACTGGTCAAGATTCAGGTCTTTGTAAGATGCCTCATACCAATAAAAGCAGGGTGGGGGACCAGCAGTTGGCAAGACAGGGTCTTGTGGACATTTTGTTCCTCAAGTTGCCATGGGGTCTGAGACAGTGTTATTTTTGTTACCACCTGTCTCTTTCCCCTCCCTGCATATTTCCTCCCCATACTTGCTGGGAGAGCAATTAGTTAGGTGTTTCCCCACCTCAATCCTCTTTGCTTACATTACAACATTGACATTTTCAAATATATTTTGGCCTGTCCACATGTTTTTTGATTATGCTTCTTTATCCACAATTATTTTTGTTTTTTTTCCACTAGTGTTTTAACATTACCAACATTATGCCTCTTCAAAGAGAAATTGTCATTATATTTCAGTGAAAGATGAACAACATTTATCAGAATAATAAAAACTAATAATTTTCAGATCTATTGTTGATCATCCATAATACAAAATGGGGTCACTTCATCCAAACAAATGCCATCAGTGACAGGAATGGTGATAAAGCTTCACTATGGTGCCTGACATTTTTATTACATTATAGCTAGACAAAATGTATTTCTTATCAGCTTTCATATTTGTTCAGCAATGACTGTGCAGATAATGTATCATCATTTTATTGTATTGTCTGGTGGTGAAAAATACAAACAAAATGTAGTATACCAAAATGGATGGTCTTTATTAAAAAGCTATAAGAAGTTTTATATTACATCAATCCCTCCCACTCCACCGACTACTCTAGACCGTTATTGTTATTATGGTGATGTAAATATGACAAAGATCTTGTCTTTTTCCTTTTCTTCCTCCATAAGATTTACTGGAATAAGTTATCTCCTGGATCAGTTACATATAGATTGGCTTTGGCTCAATTATATTATAGGTAGCTCTCAATAACATATGGTCAAATGTAAATATGATTTGTAATTGATTTTATTCATTTATATTTAGCAATTGTTTTTCTATATATTTTCCTTTCTCTCTCCAGGTATTTCCCCCACAGAAATGTCCAATGAAGAGGTCCTGCCCAAAAACAAAAGCTTAAAAAAAAAAATGTAAGAAAATCCCAAAATTGTAAAAAGTTGTACTACTACTACTAAAGTGATTATTTTGATGAGTTGACCAAGTGCTGAACAAGAACAGGACAAGTTCACCTGTCATTTGGGGCCTTACTGATGATCTAATTTTACCTTCATCCTCATTGCTGCATCTCTTGGTGACAGATCATATGCACTTTGGATAAGCCCTTCCTGTATATGCTCCAAACAGATCTGTGGCCACAATTTTTAACAGCAACAAATGAAAATTGTAACATTAATTTTGTTTCAATTCTTAATTTTTTAGTTTTCTTTTTTTTTTTTTTCTACTTCTATCTTCTTATAACCACATCATTAAAATTTTTTTTTTTGAAATATGAATATTTAAACTTATATAAATTCTATAATTTTACTTGGAGCAGATTATTTGCTTTCAAAGTGAAAAGGCAAAAGAAACATTCCATTTCTAATCCAAGCAATTTTACACTTTTGCCCATTTCTTTATAAAGATCTTTTTATTTTAAATCCTAGAATTTTGTTGTTGGTAATAAGTTTTGTGTCCACTAATGTGGAACATCCAGGTATATACATAGTCAATCAGGTCACTGAATTTGTCATATATTGGTCAAAATTATATAATTTTTACATGCATATGTATAAAGTAGTGCCTATACATATGTATGTGTAAATGACATTGTTTATTTTTTATGAAGAAGGAAAATTCAAAATCTTTATATATTGGATTCTTTGGTGAAGTTTTTTTTTTTTTTTTTCACCACTGCCAATACTATTTTTGCTGATCACATTTTATGCTAATTTAAATTTGGGGGATACAGAAAAGGTATTTAATTTATATTCACTGTCACTTATGGAAAATATCATCTTTTTTTTTCTTTTTTTTTTTTTGTCCCTCTATCAGTTTCTATTGTGTGTGCATGTATTTGATTTGCTATGTAAACAATTTTCACTAATTTATATTTATGCTTTCCACTTAGAACTTATCTTGTTATTTTAAAGGATGATTATAAAGTCACTTTTCTTTTTTAGAAATTCAAATCTTATGAGCAGCTGGTTTTGTTTTATCTGCTTGCTCATTGAAAAATTACACAGTATTGCTTTCTATCATATATATTGGATTGTCTGGAAAGTTCATGCCAATTTTTAAGAGAAATTAAAACACAATACAAAATTATGCCATTAAGTATTTATTCACTTAAATATGAACCATTTTATTGCACAACCTTTCTCCATTTTCCTTTCAACTTCAAGTTTCCATCTTCCCAGAATTTGGGTGGTTTCATAGCAAAGGTGGTTTTTTTTAATGTCATCCAAAGATTTAAAATTTTTACAATTGAGATTATTTTGCAAGGACCTAAATAAATGAAAATCCGAAGGAGCAATGTCAGGGGAATATGAATTTTTGCCAGGTTGCCAAAGAAACGCAAGGTCTGGCACTATCCTGATGGAAAACAACACCTTTCCTGTTTGCCAATTGTGGGTGTTTTTCTTGAATTGCTGCCTTTTAATTTGTCCAGTTGTGAGCAGTATTTTTGAGAATCAATTGACTGGTTACTTGGCAGATGCTCATAGTACAGGATTCCTTTCTAATCCCACCAGATATCTGGCATGACTTTCTTTGGATGAAGAACAGCTTCTGAGGTAGCTAAATTTGGCTCCTGTCACTTACCCCAGGATCTTTTTTGCTGAACATTGTTGCAAACAATCCAATTTTCATCACCCATCACAATCTGCTTCAAAAAGGGTGCATTTTCATTGTGTTTATACAACAAATAACAGATGAAATGTGATCCAAAAGATTCTTTTCATTCAAATCATGTGGTACCCAAACATCATAGTGATTTGAGTACCCAAGCTTCACTAAGTGCTCATGGATGGTGGATTTTGATAAATTTTGTGTTTCTGCCAATTTTGTGTAATGCAGGTTATTCTCAATCAATGTCTTGATTTGGTTGTCATCTGTAGTAGGGAGTCCGCCTGAGCGTTCTTCATCAATAAGCTGCAATCACCAACTCTAAACTTAGCAAACTACTTCTATACGTTCTGTCAGTTAAAGCACCTTCACCATACACAGCACATTTTTTTATTGTTTGCCTTTACAGTAAAAAAAAAAAAAAAAGCATCTAAAATACATCTTATAATCCATTTTCATAGGGATGCAAAATTGACACAAATGAAGTAATTTTAAACTTTCTTTCTCAAGAGATAGTTGGAAGTGTGCTTTAATTGGAAATGTAAGCATATTATATATGTTGATAAATTTGACATGTTCTAACATGTTGGGACATAACTGACTAAAAATTGGCATGAACTTTCCAGACAACCATATATATATATATATATATATATATATATATATATATATATTTTTATATATATATATATATTTTTTAGTTATATCTGAAATTTTACCTGCTGCACACACTATATATATATATATATATATATATATATATAAAATTCATGATAAAGTGGGGAAATTTTTGTGTGACATATTTCATCGTTTCAGACTTCATTGAACTCAAATGAAGTTCTAAAGGACAAAATGTGTCACACAAAATTTTTTCATCAATTTTCCTAACATTCTTCTGGTATATAAAATTTGTATATCATCTTCCCTCATATATATATATATATATATATATATATATATATATATATATATAATGTGTGGTAAATATGTAAGGCAATCTGAAAAAAATATTTTTTGTGTGTTGCTGATCAAAGCTTTTCCAAATTATCTTATATATTGATCATTCTTTTGGATTCTCATCCAAATTTAAATCCAGTATCTTTTCTTGCGACACTAGTTTTCTTACTAATTTTTTAAAATTAGTTTCTTTCACAAATCCAAACCTTTGAATCTTTAAACACAATAAGTATTCTATCTGTTCATCTTGCAAACTCAGGTACTGTTAATTTCTGATGTTAATTTCTGTTTGGACATTTTTATGATCATCGTGAGGTATTGGAAAGGTGAGAGATTTTTAAGCCACTCTTGAAAATCTCACTTGACAAGTTGCTGTTTAAAAAAAAAAACAAAAAAAAAAACGTACCGATCTATAAATCAAAGTGAAGGAAACAACTAATATAATCAAATGAAACTGAGAAAGTAACTCAAGGTGATATAAGTATTTGTTGTTTTGATGAGACTGGAGATATAAGTAGTAGTTTCTCTCCAGATATATCTGACTCCTGGTTTGACTGAATATTTGTTAAGAACAAGCACAGTTGAAAACATACATGCATACATATGCCAAGTAAACAGGTGGGCAGACTGTTCTATATAATATTGCCTTATATAACTTATAAAAAAAATGTTAGTTGCTTTTAAAGGGCAACTTTATACAGGAAAAGCCTTTCAACAATTTCTGTTCTGATAAAAGATTTTATGTTGGTTTTCAGCAATTGCACATTTTAAAACAAAAAATACAAGTTTTTTTTTTTTAACTTTGAGATAACACTGTACATTCTCAAAGTATTCACTTGTTTTCCAATTAGAAACTTTAATCAACACTTTATTAAAAAAAAAAGTAAAAAAATGAATTATTGTATTAGTTTTGATGTAGTCCTGTAGAGGATCCTGTTCTGGGTTCACTGCTGTCTAATAGTGTTCTTATGGGTTTCATCAATTAATCTAGGAATAAGTTGGTTGAGAATGAAATATGAAGATAGGTTTTTTGTTTATTATCATTTTCAATGATTACCAGATACCATAACTTAAAATACTTGTATGCTGATTCTGTTTTTATATAAACTACTACAGTTGCCAATGAGAGCATTTAAAAACTAATGGCAAGTGGCTACATCTACCAATGATCAAATATTGACTCTAACACGATATAAACAGTCAACTTGCTTTTATATTTCTTTATTCTTTCATTAGTAACTAATAATGAAGAAATTTATACAACTGTAACAGTTGTATAAATTTCTTCATTTTAATAGATATTAGTTTGTACATATTGTAATATAAACAAAATACATTGTAGATACATGTGTACAAACAAAATCATTACCAAATGAATGAATAATTAATGTTTTTGTTTTTTTTTTGTTCCTTAAATAATGACCTTATTGTTTGGGGGTTTTATTGTTACCTTTTATTCTGTTGCAAATTTTTTTTTCTTTTAAGGTCCTTTTTTTTTTTTTCTTTTTTTTTTTTTTTTTCTTAAATGGTCTTTCTTTCCTTTTTCTGTATCCTCCCTTTTCTTTTTTTCTTTTTCCATTATTGTATGTTGGCTACTACATGAACTCTGGCAATATCATTTTTATTTCTTTTTTCCTTTTCATTTAATGATATGCATAATAGAAAGTACAGCAATACTTTTTTTTTATTACTCAAAATATTCACTTTTCATATATGTTCACATTTATACTGAAGTGAGACTGAGAAATGTATATGATTATTTTACAATTGTTTGACTTTTAAAAAATCAGTTGCAAAATAAGTAAATATGCAAATTTACATTTCATTTTTTAATTTAAATTCTATTGCTTAATTTATATTTAAAATGTTAATTTGATTAATCTGCTCTGCAGAATTATTTTCATATATATATATATATATATATGAATTATTTTACTATATTCATTTAAAACTTTTATGATTTGTAGCATACTTTTGTTTTTCTTTTTATTGCAAATCACCTGAAATGAAAGAACTAAGTTTTTCTTTTATTCTATGAGTGGAATATCTGCTGTTGATTAGCCAATTTGATCCTTTTTTTATGTCTATTTAGTTTTGTCTCCTATTTTAGATTTTTACATCACTGTTTCTACCTAATGTTAATAATATAAAATTCCAGATAATTTTTTTCATATAACAGTGTAGAAATGATACACTATCCCTCACAGGCCTCAAGGAATATAATTTCTTCCTAATTACTGGTAAAAATACATGACTTGGATCAGACAAACTGCCGATACAAAAAATATACTACCTTCCTCTGACAAAATAAAATCTAATTCCCCGTTCATCAGAATAATCCAGTATTTTCTGTA